TTGTTTCCACCTCTTAATTATCTTATATTCAAACTGCAAACTCTTTGGGGCTGGTGCTGTCCTTTTCTTCCAAGTTTCCTGAAGACCAAAAGTCATGACTCGGGTTCCTCAGGTGCTGCATGCACACTAATTAATAAGACAATAACCCCGAGGCTCATGAAGTTGTCAAATATTCAGTAGCTGAGGAGGGAGGCAATACACACTAGAGCCTGGAAACCAGGAGGACTTGGAGAAGGACTGAGAGCAGGACTGAGGTCAACGGAGGTGGAGATGACATTGCAGGTGAAGAATTCAGGATAAAGAGTTAAAACAAAAGTAAACAAGCAAAAGAATGGAGGTAGCAATATACGTATCTGGTAACACAGAGAACAGGAGTAAAGTCCATGACCAAGGTAAGCCCATGGCTATTGACATGGGAGATACATGAGAAAAAAGATTCACAAAAAAAAGCATATACACATACCTGTAAACCATTTCATTAGGAGCCGTGTCATCAAAGGCATAATCAAAACGAAAAGTTTGGTTTTCTAGGTACCTTGTTAAATCCACCTTTTGTTTTGGTTCATGTACCATCACAACATCTTTACTAGGAATTGTTATTACATCAAGGTCTTTCATTAAAGTTTCTATAAAATAAGTGAAATATATATTTAACTAGCAACACATCATTCTTTTTTTACATCGTTTCACTGTTTACACTCTTACAACATCTCAGATAACACAGCTCCTCCAAGTAACAACATTGCAATGGATTTGGGCTTCCAATGCCTAGATAGTAATTTGCTAAGTAAGAGATTTTATTTCGGAGATGTCCTACCACTTGCTAGAAATTAAAGAGCAGTTGTACAAAGCTCATTAGAAAAACTAAGATCATCAATTATAACACTATAATTTTGCTTGTTATGTACTCCATAATAACAGTTTCCATGGATCTGACTTCTTTTTCTTCAGGACTTCTATACTGCTTTACAGATTACTGCAATACCCTTTGAGTTTTTATAAATAACTTCTCCACTGGAGAAACTGCATGCTCAAAGTCTATATTGCTTGGACTGTCAAACTTGAAAACACAAAGAAATTAGTAACTTTACAACAATCTGCTTTATTTTAAAATTTATCTTTATTTTCCCTAAACCCTTAATGTTTCAGTCACATGTTCACAGCTTTCAAAAAGAAAAAATTTGCTTTCATTCTGCACAGACATTTCCATTTGTGTATTCCTCCTGGAACCTAAAGTATGCATCTCTAATACAGAATTTTGCTAAAGTAAAATCCTTTCTAAAAATTGCCTTGTAAGCACAAAAAGCTGAAAATGCTAATAATCCTTCCTGTCATTGGGAATGTACAAAAGCCACCTAGATGTGATCTCAACAGTGAGATCCCAGGTTATAATTACTACACAGTACTACAGTTTACTGCTAATTGTTGTATGGGATATGAATCAGCAAAACAGAGAAGCCAGTGATCCATGATATGCACAAAAATAAAGATCCTTGTGTGCACAGTCAGGTTCACTAATGTGTCCTACTTGCATTTCTATGTAAAATTTCTTAAAGGCATGCAGTTCAAGAATTCGATGTGGCTTCATGCAATCAGATAGAAATCTTTTCATCGGTTAACACACCGATCTAACAGTACAAAAGTTACCATTGCACAACATTACACACCAGCAGAAATATGCATTCAAGTCACTATATAATCAATTCTTCAACTGCACTGCAATAAAATAAAACACAATTATTCTGCAGTAACCATACAGAAGGAACAGTGATGAAAAGAGATGTATGATGGTCAATTCTTTGCAGCAAAAGCTTTTTAGTTTAAAAAGCTAATTTTTCTTAAACAATTGTTCTGAATAAGACATTTACCTGCTCTCAGCTATTTCTTATGACAACTTGTGTTCTCTGCTGGCGAAAATTTGGAATAATGTCTCTGAAACCCATCATACCATTTCTCAATTATAAATACACAGCATGAAACAAAATCCTAAAATGTCAACCTGAACACCTACTTCCTGCATAGTCAATCCACAGAACAATTGGTCCTGAGAACACCTCAAGATTTTGGTAATCATTCTGTGTTTGTGAGACTGACAAAACAAACTAGTTTTATTTTTTCTCTTCAGAGGGTTACAAACTAGTATCTTTGATTCTTTTATACTCCTCAATTTTAAAACATGGCATGAGAAATACCATTTCTTACAAACTGTGTGTTTTCAGAAGACTGTATCATGTGGGTAAAGATCACCTCTATGCTTCATCCCCTGCATAGATTATTTCATTAATACGTTTTTAGGATAGCTTATTCTTAAAAACGCAAAATAGCTTCAGTGTCAACATCATTTTTACACAGGCACTCAGCTTTCTACAAACACCTCTGAACTATTTTTTTTAATAGCTCCAAACCACCAATACATAAGATACGCAACTTCCACAAAATCAAATCCTAATTCTGAATCCTGACTCACGCCCCACGACAACTTGCTCTCATTCACTGTAATTTCACTTTGTCCATCTTCAGCAGAGGTAGAAGGTGATGTTTACCCCAAACACATGAGATTTCTAATTCATATTTTATTACCAATAACCTCCAATGCTGAAGAAGAAGTTCAACTGCTACCAGACTTGTACATTGACCACCTTTATTAAATAGGTTGTGCAAAATAGTTTCAGTTAGGCAATTTTTGAGATTATATATTCCTTTTAGATCATTAAAAGAAAAAAAACCCAGGGAATACGAAAACAGTAAAGGTAAAAATGAAGGAAAAAAAAAAAAAGTAGGGGAAGCAGCAAGGGGGAGAGAAAAAAATTAAGACAAAAACTAACTATATACTGGTATCAACACATGTTTTCCCTTTCCCATACAATTCTCCCATTTTCCTCTGGATACGCTCCAGACAATCCTCAATGAGTAGTTCTGACAGTACAAAAATAATAAATGCATCCCATGTTGTCTCAAAACCACAGTGATGCTCTTTTAGTCCTTTAGCTAAACAAAATATAATAGGAAGAATAGGAAAGAAACATCTTTCAAAATAAAAGTCAGCTTACTTAAGCGCTGGCTTCCGACAGGCTGCAATCCAGAAGCATTTGTGTACTTAATTTCCCACTGAAAGTAAAGAACTTCATGGAAAGACTGGGATTCAACTGGAGTTGAAAACCTGATCGCTTTTTTTTTGTTTGAATACAGACTCCAGTCTGACGAGCAGGCAGTAAGAAAAAACACTGTGATACTAATCACATATTAGAAAAGTCACCAGGGAGTCATTCCAGTACCTAACAGGTTTTTTAGTGGCATTTCATATGCCCTAGCGTATCCCACTGAGCCCTGAGCAGCAACTCCAGGGGATACAAGTCTCCAGTTTGTCTGTAACCCAGTGGCCCTGTGAGGATGTCTTGCACACGTTTGGGCACCTAACAATATGTCGCAAGACACCAGGTCTTAGGCTCCCTTGATGTCTGATTCAAGACCACCTGAAAGTATAAAAATATATGTACAGAAAATGCGTATGAAAGTTTTCCCTGGGTAACTCTCTGCTCAGGGGATCACTTGAAGGATATTTAAAAGAATGGTGATCCTAACACGAAGTAAGAGTATTGAAGAAATTACAGTAGAATTAATTCCCAGATCAACTAAATACATCCTAGATGACCTTGGAAAAAAACTGCAGTCTCTCTGCACTTCAGTTCCCAGTCCATAAAATGGTGACAGTTAAACTACTTTTTGTTCCCATCTTTATCCAGGTTATGACGAGCCTATGAATTTTCTGGGTCTGTCACACATATTGTCTAGTATAACAGTTTCACCTTTGATCAGTATTTCTAGATCTCTCTAACACAAATAATATTATCATCAGAAGCAGCTTTTCAGAGAAAAAATTCAGCAAAATCTTCAATGGTCATACCTTTTTTATTGAGTGGTCTTTTTCGTACACAAACACATATCCTGTGCTCATCAATCTGCAAAGGAAACAATCTTTCAGTGAACTATAGCCCAATTCCAGTTACACAGTATTTTACCTTATTTTATTCTAGCCTTGAATTAATTAACCAATCATTTAAACAAAGAAAAATTTCCAATCTAGTGAGTCTTTTCACTATACATGTGAAAGCCCCTTGTGTGTCTGCACAATAGCCTAGAACCCAAAAGAAGAAACATACATTAACAAAACTCCCTGCAGACAGTGATCTAATCCTGTAGTGTATCAGCTACCTCTTGGAATATTGCCAGCAAATCCAGCTCTAACAGGGTAGATAGGCTATTGACAGAAACTGTCACAATCTCTGATTTCCACAGAGGTCTGATAATCTTCATCATTTGAAGATTCTGCTTCTCTGACTTCTCTGCAAATCAAAGGCCCTCATCACTTTCAAAGATCAAATATTAACCTTTATACTCAATGGGGTCTTTCACAGAAGCTTAATGGTTCTGTGTGCACAACCCCTAGCATCCCAGGAAAATTTACAGTATGGAGGCTGAGTGACTACTTAGTACATAGCGGTATTATAATAAAAAGACATTTAAATAACATGACATAATTAACAATAATTTAAGAATCTAGGAGTTTCAATACCTACTAATTTCAATATTATCAAATTACTGAAAAAATAAATCCATGCTATAATGAATACTAATATATATTAAACTACTCATTTTTCATGTTTACAGACTGAAGTATACATTGAAAAAATTGAAAACACATTGCAAAAATACAGAAGAACAAAAAATTCCCATGTTGCTGGGGTACGTACAGGATCTGCAGTTGTCAGTGGTCTATAATCCAAACTTCCCCTGAAATCTCTTATCATACACATAATTTCATAATTTGGGTTTGTAGCATCAACATCCTAGGGAAGTAAGCAAAAGAATTTCTAATATACTTTTTTTCCTGAAATAGAATAACTTCAGTATCTTCTGTACTTATTTATAAGAAGAATACACATTAACTGAAATCTTTTTTTTTTCTCCACAACGCCAGAAATGTCTCACATGCAAGTTCAACGCCTTTTTCCATTCTGATGTAGTTAATTTACCAATCATAAAGCAAAACAACTATATGCTTTCTACTTCATGTTTTTGGCTGGCATGTAATACAAAATGGTTTTTAGTTGAGGACTCATTAACATTTCTACTCAAGAAAGAGAAATGACTCCTGCCTTTGCCAGAATCTTCACACCAAAGAAACATCTCCAAATGACTGCACAACACCATACAGCTTATACAGCCAGCGCTCCTTCATCTGGGACAAGGCAGTCCAGTGGAAGAATGGACACACTCTGTTACACAGGTACAACAGACACCGCAGAAGACAGTGCAGGCACCTCAGCTGCTCCAAACACAATCCTGCTGGATCCAAGTTGGTTAAAAGAGCTTGATGCTACTACAGGTGTGGAGCTAACTCCTACAGTTACTTGGATGCACTGAAAACTCTTCTAAAACTCCTAGATCCCCCAAAAAGCAGAAACAATCCCAAGAATACACAGTAGGGTACATCAAGGCTCAGAAGACCTCCCATTCCTAAACCAGGAGCCATCCGTACCAGAGCAAACAGACACATAAGAGACCATGCACGGAGCCCCTCCAAGCCTTGCTAAGCCTGAACCTACTGTGAGCTGAGCTGGGTCTCTGCAGCACTGATCAAACGTCCTTCCTGTCACTCCTCCCCATGACTGTCAGTTTTTACACCATTTCAGGAGCTGTTGCTGATGCCATACATAGCCAGCACTGGTGCTCAGACCTTACTAAGCTTTGCATCGCTCCTCCCAAATGATATAAAACTGCTGCTGGATCACAGCTCGTTGTGGAATCAGTGTAGGCACTCTCAGAAAGCACTGCATTGGGGTCAATAAGCTGAAAGGCAGCCAGCTCATGTCTCTGCCCCTGTGACACCGCCGATCCCCACCTCAGATAAAATTCTGGTAATCAGAAGCTGACTGTACCTTGATGTTTTTCACCCTGACTACAGTGAACTAAAAACTGCTGACAGTAAGTCCACACAAAATATATCCCTGCTGAAATGTTCCCATCTAACACTCAGAAAGGAGTATTGCTTATCAGGGAAAAGGTGTTTGCCTAATATTCTACAAACCCTGTTTAAAGGTCTTGCCCACCAGAAGGCAGTGCTTGGCTAATTATTGCTGCATTTCACAAAACAATAACAGAACACACGAAGTAACATGAAGCACAGGTACACACAGGTCACCAAGACAAACAGAGCTTCCTCATACAGAAGTTTAAGACTCAAATGCAAAGGGAGTCTTCACAGGAGCGATAAAAAGAAAATTTTAGGTGTAGTACCACATCAAAGTATATTAATATATAAAGCAAAAAAAAAATTTCTTCCTCACCCACAAAGACACAGTGAAGTTTCGCATTTGTGTAAAGAGGTGGAAATTAGAGAACATGAATTCAACACAGGTGATTTTAGGTCAACTTAGAAACATCACTAAACCATGAAGTAAATTGCCTGAATTATTTACTTGGTGGTGGTACTTCTCATGTCAGTAGCGGATTGGTAGTATCTCTTTATAGACTAGCACATACGCACAGGGCTGCCAACAGGATTACGCTACTAGTTTTGCTAAACCTTTTACACCACTGTGACAGAAAGTCATTTAACATTAAGAGATTTTTCTCACAGGATTAGCAACTTCATTTCTTTCACACAAGTTTCTAACAACTTGCTGCCAAGCTGCTTGCATGAAGCAAAGCTAAATTAGAAATGCAGACTGGTTTAAAGAAAAAAAAAAAATTAAAAGCCTCTGTTCAAATCTGAGCCTCAAATAGATCTCCTAGAAAGCAGCAAAGATCATAAAGAACAATTTACCATAATGTTATAATACCTCCTGTAGAACAACAGACCTAACTAAAAGCCAAAAGTTTTATTATTTTCAACAATACATTTTCCCTAAGAAATAGCTATCGTCAGTACCTGACCTTTAAAGAATATGTGTGAAGATAAACAATTGTAAGCAATTATTTCTGTAAGAAGAAAAAGAGGGGGAGAACTGTCTAAAGTAATAGTTATGACAGCAATACAACCAAGCACCAAAATATTCATCAAACTTGTACATGGGATGAAAACTTTTAATTTCAAGATTATTCAAGTTCGCAAAAATTATTAAAGACTGAAAAAAGCACAACGATTTTGCAAACTTGTCTCCTGCTGACATATGTTTTCCATCCGAGCTAAAAATACTAACCTGAGCTCTTTTTTCTCTAAGTTCCTGCTGCTGTAACCTTCTTTTTTCACGTTTTTCTTGCAACTTTTCAACCTCTTTTACACAATTAGATTTTCTACGTGCTTAAAGAAAATGATACAATTTTAAAATATTTTCAGTGTTGCGTGAGTTTAGTAATTACACTGCGACATTTCAATTATATTAATTTATCAATAATTAGAATGCATTGATATCAACTATCTTTTCAAGCAAATCCGTATTAGTACAGAATAATTATGGCAATTTAATTGCTAAAATTCACAAAATAAATTAATTAGAAAAAGTCATGGGAATGGGAAAATAATTACATGACCAAAAATATAAGGACAATGGCTCTCAAAAAAACATTTGGACAGATACATGTGATCTCTTGGTTTGAATTAAGGGAAAGCCCAGGCAAATTAAAAAAAAATAGCAAACACCACCACCATGGTAAAAAAAGATAAAGGAAAAACAAAATCCAAATACTAGCACAACTATGACGAAAGTGAGTATTTGTTTAGCCACAGCTCTCTGAAAAAGCTCCTCAAGGAAGGCCACAGCCCACTGCACATGTAGACCATTTGTCATTTATGGACAACCACATAATCCAAGAGAATGTACATGTAACGCCCAGAATGAATGAATCCTTGATACACGGTTTACATACAAGGGGGTCCAAATTCCTTTTTTGCAGCTTGAACTGGAGATATATCTGAAACACTACCATTCTGTTGAGAGGAGGAAGACTGCTCGGGAAGCTGAGTAGGTCGCGCACGTGCAGAACCAACCACTGCAAAGGAAAAGCACAAAGCTCATCTGGACACAGAAGAGTAACATTTCTAACCTATGCTGAAATGCTTTGTTACGATGAGATAAAACAAGGTGCCCTTCCAGACACAACATTTTGTTCGGGGCGAGGGGGAGCCATACGTGTAGAAAGTCTATTAATGAAGACATTTGGTATGTAGCCTTTTTTATCCTGGTGTTACACACCAACACAACATAGTTATTAAGCACCAATGCTGCAAGCGCGTATATTTAAATACGCTACTGCAGAATTGGCACAACCTATTATGTGCGTAGAATGAAGCGTGTACTTGGAGATATGCAGTCCTGAAGCTTAAAGCGCTGGAATTTTATTTACATTGTGATTATATCCAAAAACTGAGTAAGAAAAGGAGCCCTGCTGTTTCACATTCATCAGACATTACAAAATGGTCCCACCCCTTGAGCCTATGATCTCTGAAGGAGCAAAGGGATTAGAATGAAAAGGGAGCAAAGTGCAGCTCAATCCGTGAGTGGAAGAAACACACATTTTTGACACCATACTGGAAGGAATACAGACACAATCAATATGTCTAAACTTATGCGCCGATTCTATATGTGCTAAGGATGCAAATTTCTGAAGATGCAATGATGTCTGTGTTCCCAGTGAATGCAGTGGGAGTGGTGAGCATGCAAGCCTCTTTGGTAGAGCTGAATGCTTTAAATTGGTTTTCAGACAGTTGGTTCAAGCAGCTCTGCTTCAGCATGCCCACTTCCTGCACACGCTCCTAACAGTCTGCCAGAAGAGTACAAAAGGGAAGGTATCAGCTTTGATTAGCAGCCAGAGATGACACTCCAAACGAAGGCCAGCTTGCTGTGCCACTTGGAGACAACTACAGAAACAGGTATTGAACAGGACACACAAGACAAACACCCAGATCATTCCAAACGATAGGAGCTCTAGTTTATAGCACAAATTGACTACACAAAATAAGACACTGGCTGAGAAAAGCTTAATTACAAGGCCAACAAAGAACAAATACGTAGGCCGACTGCAAATAACAAGATGCATAGGATGTATTAAGATACCAGTTACAGGATTATTCCATAGCAAACAGACCACTTACTACAAATGACAACATGTATGGATGTGAGGACAGCCCATCAGCAAGATGTCCCAAATTTAAACCACATTAGTTTGAAAAAAAATAACCCCTCCTCTTCAGATTTGCAATTTGTTTAACACTCCCAGAGGCAAATGGCAGAAGGGTGAAAGTGGCCCAAATCATTCACCACAAGAGTCCAAACATTTGCAAAGATATGCAAAGCCGCATGTTTTTCAAGTTTAAACAGATGGACTGGAATCTAGTCTAGATTAATGTTTGGAAGAAGAATCATCACCATGATCAGTAGAAGTTAGTTTAAGTTTAACGCAGGACAGAAAATGAAAACAACAAGCAGTAACTATTCTGTCTCATCTTATAGAAGCATTACATCTGCATTCATCCAACACATATTTTCCCCCTGTCCCTCCGTGGTACTTCAGCACTTTTTGCAGACTTTTCACTATTAACTGTAAAGTGAGAAATAGCCAGTAGGGCTTAAGTACTCTTTGAATGAATGTTTACACACAGACTGTTGTAAAACTAAGTTAAAAAATTGAAATCCTAAGAATTTTAAGTGCACTACTTGGTATATATTGAAACACTCAATTAATCTGAAGCAAACTGGCGATGCTTTAACTTGGAAACGTCCACACACAATGTAATGTACCATAGTTCATTAACTTTTTTTTTTTTTTAAATTTAAATTTTTGCAGCTTGAGCTCATTCAGCTTAACTTTTCTAATGCTATATTGCTTAAACTTGCATATAAATACTTGTACAGTATGAATTCCTAAATATACATAGGAATAATTCTAGGAATGAGGTACCAAGTCTTTTACAGGCATATATACCAAATGAGAAATGCAGAACTATTAAGGAATGTTAAATGAGCAGGGGGTTAAAATACTCCCATATTTTTTACTTCCTTGAAATGGAAAGAGATAAAATTTACCTCTGTTATCTCTGGCAGGGATGTCATTCTTAACAGGTGCCACAGTTCGTCGACTCTGTAAAGAAATCTCTGTTATTTGGTCGTTGTATTACTAAACACGTAAACTGCAGCCTCACCTCTGCTTCTTTCCAGTGAACAAAAATAACAAGACATCAGCAATACAGAGAGGCGATTGCTGCCAAATCCCTCCCTGAAGAGACGAGGGTGAAGACTTCTTGAACCATATGTACTGTTTCAAAACAACCTCCAAAACACTTTCTATATTTTAACCTGAGATGTATTTAGTAATAGAAATATTAGTTCCCAAATCCCTCTCTACCAAACCGTTCTTAAATAATTTTTAGAAAACCTTATTCACCACTGGAAAAAAAAAAGCAACAGTTACCAAACAGCTCCACAGACACAAAAGTGGAAGTTAAAAATTCAAGCAAAACACATATGGGAATACTGTAAGTTTAGCATGAACATGTTGGATAGATATTACGAACCTTCACTATTTTATTTACTTTGGCTGGTGGAGTAGGTGGTGGTGGTGTCTCCGGACTAGGTTCAATATCTTCATCAGGTGCAAGATCTGGGTTAAGTGAAAATATGCTCTCCAAGTCAATCTGTGTAAAAGAATATAAAATGCATTTACGAGTCTTAAAACAATATTCACCCTCTCCATTTCTCCTGTTACATTTGAGAATAAACAGTAAATATATTTAGTGGTTTTATACCACAATTTGTTAATTCTAAAACCTGAATTATCTTGTGTTATGTTCAGTAAAAACTGCTTAAGCTTTGGTCTTTGTATTGGTTGAAAACACAGCCTTCAGAAAAGGCATGAATTAAAAATGACAAATAGACATCCATAATTTTGTGAAGTGACTAAATTAAAACAGAAGTAGCTATTATTACTGTGGTAATTTGACCATTACTGCAAAATATGAAAGACATTCTGTAACAAGAGGTCTCAATCATTTGAAGTCTTCCAGACAGTGCAAAAGAAACAGCCAAATTACAAACACCCGAAAAATAAAAGCACATTTGAAACCATGTTAAATTTATCATGCCTTTTTCTTTTCCTTTTAAGTGTTCCTCATTCAAAATGCTGTAAAATATAACGAGGGAGGGGCAAGATCTTAAAAATAGCTTGCTTTAGATCTATTGAAACTTAGTTTCCTAAAAATCTTAAATAGCTTTAGCTAGGGGAGATAGACTGCCACTTCCCCTGACTAGACCTTTCAAAGACCTCAGTACTGTATGGATTTTGTGTGTCCAGAGGGATGAGCTCAGCTGATGAGATCACCAGGAATTTCTCACAATTTTTTTTTTCTTTTTCCTGTGTTTTCACAAAACTATTTCTGAGATGCTTCTCCAAATCCCAGCTGAAACTGGCTAACATGGTCCAAAATTTAAAGGAAGTGGGGATAGAGAAGATTACACACAAAGACGCAGTTTCTCAAGGAAAGCAAGGCTGGAAAATTATTGCCAAAAACAAATAAATGAGCAAACTAACTAGCAGTTCAATTCCTCAACAATACAAACACAAAAAGATTTCTAATCTAGCTCTCTCGCTAGTTTCCTGTCTGAACTGGAAGCCATTCTCCCCCTCAAAAATTTGATATTTCTACTTGTAAAGAGGATGACAAGGCCAGCCTTTGTAATCTGGTTCAAAATCAATAGATGAAAAGAACTATTTAAAAGCTATGACACTGAGCTCAGGAAGTCAAATTTAATACAACAGAAATCAGCGTTTGTCGAACAGCTCCCATGCAAAACAGTCTTTAATCAAGGAATCACCAAGTAAATTAAGATTTAGATCTTTTTGCTTTCAGTGCAAATTCCAAAGTAATATTCATGTAGACTGAACTTTTCTTAAAAGAGAGAAGTTCTAAAATAATAAAGTTTACCTCTTTTCCTTTAGTATCGCCATTTTCAATCCATTCAACAGTTACACTTTCATTATCTTCATTTAGGGATGTTACCATAGCTTGGTGAATTCGGCCTAGAAAGCAAACACAAATGATCATTTATTAACCGGGGGGAAAATTCTGCAGACATTATTTTCATCCCTGCACTGAGACATGCAGAGAGAGGTAGGAAGAAGGGAGTTAAAAAAATGAAGTGATAAAAAGACAGTAATTCCTGGCCACACACTGTGAAGTGGCTCAGACCTGATCCACCTGTGGACGCTCTAATGGGACAGTCAAGTGTACAAACGAAAAGCTTAATAAACAGAAGACTGAGTGCTAAGTAAACAAAACACCACGTGAAAGCCACACCACGTAGACTCTTTTCTTGAGAGAAGGTAACTCCAATATCACAAGCCTCGCACGGGCAGTAAAGTCTCCTGAGATGCGCTCCACAGGGGTCCCCCTTCTAGGCTGATACAACATTATATGTCCCAACATAGGAGTGAAGCCCTCTGAAGTTGTATTCTTATGGGCATCAAATCAATTTGTAGTTATACTAAAATTAAACTGCCTGCAACAATAATACAAATCATTTTAAAAACAAATGCTTACACAGACTGCTGAGCTGGAGTTAAGGTGCCATTGCTTTGACCTCTCCAGTGAAAGACTCAAAGCCAGCAAGCCCCCATTAACTACAATAAAACCAGTAAACTTTCAGTAAGAGTAAGGATTTTTCATCTTAAATATGTAGCGTACTGCAACTTTTTTATGTCCTATTTCCTATTCACAGTAGCGAGAAGCAATTGGAAGAGCAGAGCAGCCATGCACTGACAAAAAAGGATCAAGACGCAGGTGTCACATCGATTTCACATCTATGCTTTGCCCTAAGAGACCCAAGAACTGGGGTTTCTAAAGAACAGGAGTCCAACACAACTGCTCCTCTAACACCCTCCTTTAACGAGCCACAGCATGAACAAGCAATCCCTCACTCCACCCACCCCAAGCCACCCCCCAAGTGCTCAAGGGCCACGTGCAGCTCCCACAGCACGAGCGGCTATCTTGGAGCAGTCCCTGCACATGCTGCTGCTGCTGCCGGGCACTCGCTGGGGGCGAAACACAGCACGCTCCTTACACATCTGCTCTGGTCTGCGTCTCCTCCACCTTGCACCTTCTCTTCTCCTTTCCTTAAACTCCCAGCACCCCAAACTCATTCGAGTTTTCTCCTCCACAAACTTCTGGTTTCAGTCATAATTCAACAGTTTTCCAAAGTTATTGTTTTCATGCAGTCTAAGCCTCCTAGGGCCTGCTGAGGGACAGAGAGGAAGAAAAACTTTGACTGATATCCCAAATTATCTCACCTAACGGCGCAAGTAGCAAATGTACACCATTACTATTTCTTTCATTGCAAAGGCTGCCTAATGTTCACATCTAGTTAAAATTAAGTAAGAAGACAGACTACAGAGAAGCATCATGGAAGGTAACAGCAAAGCTGTGTGCTCTAATATAATGCGGAGAGGAAGAGACTAACCAAAATTCAGGCAAAGCATAGCACTTGGGACTCACAGAGCAGCCAGCACCCCTGAGCAACACTGCTTTCACATCTGTGGTGCCTGCCTCACCAGCAACATACATTACATATACATTTACAATCTCCATGCCTGTGCTTGCCCAAAGCATAAGATTCACTCCACCACTAAAGAAGGTTAATTATTTTTTTTACTCAAAAAAAAAGAAAGCCTCCCCTGTTGCTTCACTTCATTCCTTTCCTCTAGCATTCACCAGTTTTTATTTCCCTGACCCGTGTTTTGACTGAACAAACACCTCCATTTGTGCTTCCCGAGCATCATCCTCCCAGGTGGCCCAGATGCATGCTCTGCAGGGACAGCCTGGCTGCATCCCCCACCCAGGCGCTGCCCAGAGATGCATGGGCAGGGACCACTGCCATGCCCTCCCCTCTGCACAGGCACTCCTCCCTTTTGCCCTCACTCAAATGACACTGTGCGCGCAAGCATCCTTCCCTCAGGACCCTGCCTGAATTCTGCCAGTGGCTGGGCTGAAGCACACTCACCGAGCTCAACCCTCTCACAACTTATTTCCTTGGACGAGTGTTTTTGTGCAAGTTTTCTTTGTGCAAGGTCCTCAATACACCTCTCCATTAATGTTTCTGCATTTAATAACCTCTAGGGATGTAATTTTGTGCAAGAATACCCTGTTGTAGAACTGTTTCAAGTAGCAACAGAAGCCACTGTCTTTCTGTAGCAGTGCCACTCCTGTCACTTCTACAAAGAGCATGCTAGGACCACAAGGACACAGAAACTTGGAACTGGAAGAATCCTCAAGCTTAGGCTGGTATAATATTCTGCTACTGTTTTAAGGCTTGGCCCAGCTGTCAATCCAGAATCAAGAGAAAAACAATATATCAAAAATGTAAGTTCAGAAAAACATATTCTATACAATATTATCATAATCTTTAGTATGTTACCAAATTCTATAAATTTTGAAGAAAAGCACTCTCACAGCTGAAACCTGTGATACTGTATTAGTCACAGAGCCACCATATAAATCCTATTACCTGGTCCTATGTTCTATTACTTCTGACAGAGAACAAATAATAATTAAAAAAGGTTTAATCTTTGCCATAACAAGTGAAAGGAGATCAAAGCAGGCTGATGAATGAATAGAAAATACAGAGCACTCTCACAAACACACTAAGCCAGCACGCCGTAACAAAAGAATCACAATAAATCTTCCATCTCTGTGCCAGATTTCATCCGATCCCTGGCCAAGAAAGTCAGGACTGAACAAAAAAACCACACTAACAAAAATAAAAGTTATGTCCATCTTCGAAATATTCTCAGCTTAGATAGAAAATGTATACTATAATGTTTAAACTGGCAATGTATCTATACAATTTGTTCCTAAAAATTCTTTGTGTTACTAAAAGTTTACATGCTATTGAAGTGCCAGAAAGCACATTTACATCTTTACAATTGCTTCTTGTTTCTGCAAACAGTATTCCATTATATTTTTCTAGTACACAGCTGAATACAGCAGCTGTGAAATTCAGGACTGCCAGCAACCAATTAGGCTGGCATAAACCTCGTCTAGCATATAAAGCAAGACCAAGCTGCAAATGCTAAAGCATAAGAGCCAAATCAATCTGCAGAGTCGTTGAAGGCAAAGTCCCTGATTTCTGCAGCATTTTCTTAAGTTGGTATCAATATCTCAAATGTAAACATGTCCACATAAACACAAACATGCATTATGACAATCTGAAAAATGAACAAGTGATTTAAGAAAGACTATCTTCACAAACATCTCAAAAACAAAAGAAAAAATAGAGCAATAGTGCTAATACACTGACTCTTCACTCTGCTTTTCTTTAATTTCTAGTGCCTCTCCTCACATAATAGACTTCACATCACAGGCAAAACTTTTCCTGGGAAGTCGTTCCGTTGCTATAGGGCCTAAAACTGATGGACAAGTTATTTTAAAAGTCTATTATTTGTGTAAATATGTTCTGTCATACAGCGTGTGGCATGTGGCTTATCTCCAACTGACTAGACCACACAGAAAATACTACTGCAAATACAGTAATAATAACACAAACTTATATGAAGCCAACAGTTTACAATTATCTTAAATACAGAAACATTACAATATTGTCACCCTAATCAATACAAGTGAAGAAAATCAACTCTCCATTCCCTCTCTTCCTAGTCATCTGATGAACATTTGACAAACAGATGAAAGCAAGCATAAACATCTGTAAACATAAATATCAGATATATCTCACCTATTTCAGGAGCTCCTAAGGTAGCTATTGGTGCAGAAGAAGGTTCAGGAAGCAGCAGCAAAAGCAAATAACCAGGGCTAAACCAAACATTTTAAATAACCCTCAACCTAAGTAGCAGTGCCAACTGATTGCAAATACCAAGCTGTATTTAGATCCTTATCTCTACGCAAACTGAACATTTTCTACCTGCAAAACCTGTCCAAACCACTACAATTTTGAAGCAGTGATCAATGAGATTATTAAAACCATGGCATTTTCATCTTCCTAATACTTTTCAGAAACTAAAGTTATCAGTGTTAAATATGGGTTGGTGTTTTCTAAATTACAGTCTGGGCTACAGCACTGGCAGATATGTGACTCAAACCCCTTTGTGCTCGCACAAGTGACTCAAGAAATAAGGCTGGAAAAAGACCACAGCCTTCCCCACCTTTCCAGGTCATTAAAGTGCACCCACGCCAAAAGACACTGTACTCGCACACCTCACACAAAAGTTCTGTGAAGTCTTAGAAATATCTTTGAGCCGTAACAACTAAAACTTTACACACAGGCTCTGGATCAGGCTATGGAAAACAAAGGTTTATAATTTCCGCTGTGACTCTCTCATTCCTCCCTCAAAAACAGTAGCAGGACCCTGCCCAACAGCATTACACTGACCATCATAGAGTTGTTTAAGCCTTGTCAAGTCAAACTCAGGCAATTATTTTTAGCAGGACCAAGCTATGGCAATGTTAACGGACCCAACATTCAGTAAAGGAAACTCACAGCTTATGTTACATCCTCCGAACTTGTCACTTCTTTAGGAGCATAAATGTGCTGTATTAGCTCCGGCAGTGGTCCGTCAGCCAAGCACTTAGCTTTTCCAAGTGCATCAACAGCAGATGTTTCACAGATGAATGCAAAAATATACTGCAACATAACATCTATTACAGAGTCCTGCTAAGGACGACCACTCCAACAGAAGCTACCCATCCCTTAAATGATCATAACAGTCATTTGTGAAAAAGCCATGATTTTCCTAATCATGTTCATGAGGAACTAACATGAATGTTATCTCATCTACAGACACCTGGACAGGACTGACCTTCACCCTCTGCCACTTGATATTCAAAAGCTAAAATTGCGAAAAGTAGAATTTTCTTCACTCTCTTTTAAAAATAATACAACCCTCAAGTGGCATACTGCCCTGGTTTGGGCTAAACCAGAACTAATTCTGGTTTAGTGCTTTAACTTTTCAGTTAAGTCTCCTCTAACTAACAGCACTGTCTGAAACAGCATCATGTTTCTCCAGAC